CTGGCATGTGGTGCTGGGGATTGAACCGCGGTCCCTGTACTTTGCTCAACTTGTTCTAAGTAGGTGCTTTAGACCACTGAGCCATCTCACCAGCCCCGCCTTATCCTTTCTGAGCACCCTTGGTTTCCTTTGATCTCTCTTGGTTTCTGAATTCTGTCCTTCCACAAGTGATTATTTCCCTGTCTTTCTCATACATGTCTCTGATCTTTGCTAATCCTTGAAACAAATGAGTCAGAAGCAAAATTTTGTGGAAACCAGGATGGAAAATTTTATTGGAGGGTCACTGGTGTATAAATGCAAGTTACAGAATTCAGGTTTTTTTTTTTTTTTCTTCTGAGATTTCATAGTGCAGAATTAAAGTTTGTACATCAGTGTCAGGAAAAGAACACTCGAGCGAAGGTTTATTTTGTACTCCTAAGGCGTTAACACTGATGTGTTCCCATTTTGGTAGATTTCAGTTCTTTATTACAAACAGCACAACTGCTTCTTATTTCTCCTTTAGCAATCTGAGGGTAGGAGTGAGTACAATGAGATTATTCTGTCATCTAGATTCATACTTCCTCATTGTTAGGGAACAGTCAGAAGCAGGTCACACGGCTTGATATTTTTGGTACCTTTCCAACTTTGGAGCCTTTTGTGCTTATGAACACGAACATTCCCTAGACTCCCATTACTCTCCTACTACCTGTGATTATGGAAATGACAAACTGGGAGTGTGCAATTATACTTGTGTCTACACAATTGACATTAGCATAAAACTTATCTGAAATATTACTTTCTTTTTAGAAATTGATTTCTTTTCATAAAAGCTGTGAAGTATGTCTAATACTCCCAGCTCAAATGAAAGATACCATTGTTTGTGCTTTTATGGCAAAAAAGAAATTTGGAATAGTTCTTGATATGCCAGTACTCCTAATTTTCATTTTTAAATAGGATTCAGTGACTTCTCCAAATTACTGACTGTGCAAAACTTCCAGTGTGTGGAATGTTTTAAAGATGGTTTTACTGGCTTTGTTAAGAACTCTACAAGCCCTGTCCTTGCTGGTGTCCATTGCTAGATTTGGTGCTGTGTTTCCATGGACTGGATGTTTAGTCCATCCCATCTTTGTCTAGTCTTCTCTGGGCTGTCCAGGCCATTTTGCTGGGAGCTCTATCTACTTCTTCTGGTTTCCAAGGTTTCTGGGCTCCAATTCTAGTTCTGCCCAGCTTAGCTGTGTGATGGGCCTCAGGTTTATGTTTTGCAAAACAGAGGTGTTGGAACCCTTTACAGTCCCTCAGATATGGTGTGAAGTATACTTTGGGCATGCAGAATGGCCTGAGGAGAACTTCAGCTTGGCAAGTGAATGTTAGCTAGCCCATTCCCTATCTTTTGGGAGACCTGGCCTGGAAATAGGTGCCTCACATTCCAAGTTTATGCTTTGCACCACCAGCTCTGATGATCCTTGAATGAAATCATCCATATCACACTGGTGGGAACCTTCCAGGTCCTGTTCCTCTTAGAGGGGTGTAATACAAACTTGCCTTTTAGAAACTATGAAGTTTTGTACTTCAGAGGAAATCTGGGGGCCCCTTCTTCACTTCTGATGGAGCATTTCCATTTGGCATAGCCCCCTTTGCTACTGATTTGCCAATAGGTGGTATTCTGAAAGGCTACTTTTACCTTATTTCATGATGGTAAATCCTGATTTAAATGACATCCAGAAGAAGGAATGCAAGGAATATTGCTCCAAATGAACAATCAGTGTATCTAGTTTCTTGTTAGAGGGTGTTTTATTTGTAAAGAAGTCTTCTGTTGTACTATCTATTCAGCTTGAATGTACAGAAAGAAATGTAGAAAGTAAGGGAAGTTGAAAGATAAAAATAGGCATAACTCTTACTATCACAAGATAAAAATAGGCATAACTCTTACTATCACAAGCAAAGTCATAGATCACTAGGTATATTATAGGGCCAGGGAAGCTGGCATTTTGGGTACTTTTTTTTTTTTTTTTTTTGGCAGAAAAAAATGTTGTGTGGTCACTGTGTTCTGAAGGTTAAAGCAGCTCAGGATGGCAAAGCGTGTCTGTCTGTCTGTCTGTGTGTCTGTCTTTCCCCATTCAAATAACCTAAATATAAATATTCAAATATTCCTTTTCTGCCTTTTGCAGCTCTTTTTTTTTTTGTTGCAGCTCTTTCAGATAAATCTAGACAATTTTTTTTCTGAAAGAAAAAATTTCACAAAAGTCAGTTATCAAACTAGTGAAATTTGTGGGCTTGTGCTCTTATGGGCAATATTTGCCTTTGATTTACTTTTGATACTATTTCTAACAACCATGACTTAAGAAATATTGAAGACACAGTTGTTGTACGTTTCTGTCACCTAGATAACTTCACCTGAGAAGAGCTGGTATGTCGGGCATGGCCTATTTACCTTTCAGATTAAAGACAGGATATTCTGAGTGAAAGGAAAGGAAAGTCCAGCTGTATTCCTGCCTTTTTTCCATTACATTTTACTGGCTTGAGGTAGTTAGAACTCCTTTTACTATTCATTTCTCTGGGCCAAATGGATTTTCCACTGTTTAAAAAGTGAGAGAAAATATAAAAAATTGTAGACCAAGCCCTACTTTCCCCAGGGGCCCGTTGGGTGACTTTTAAGAAAAATCCACAGATGGCTGGGAGACATTAGCAGCTTGGAAAGATCTGCTCTGTGTGTGTGTGTGTGTGTGTGTGTGTGTGTGTGTGTGTGTACATACATGCGCGTGCAATGTATGTGTGTGCACATGAGCTATTTGGTAACCCTGAGAGAAGGATCCGGCAATGGTTCTTCCACCGTGTGTCTCTGTTAGGACCTGGTCGTATCTCTGTGTTAAGGATAGAATTGTCGTTTGCCTTTGCCCACCTCCGTTCCTCCCATGAAGTACAAAGCAGAAGTAAGGAGCATTCATATAACTCCTGTACAGGAAAGCCCAGCCTCAGCTTCGCACTTTGCCGTTTAAGGGTATGTGATTTGGGGCAAGTTCTTTGCCTTCTCTGAACCTTAGTTTTCTCACATGTAAGATGGGGGGAAGAAAAATGGATAATGCCTATCTTGGGGTGTTGTAAGATGCATCAGATGAGAATTTTAATAAAGCATCTGGCATCGCACCCAGCCTGTAATAAGATGACAATATCTTTATTTCTTTCCTTCCCAGGTTTCATTTTATACTAAATTGTTCTGCCTTTTAAAAATGTTTTAGAGCAAGGAAAGCCTATAAAGATTTGACTTTATTTGACTGGCTTTCTTTTATAAAAAGATGGTCATATATGTGGAGATGCCCATAGACTAACAATAAACAGAGAGAGAA